AAATACGCGTGTTAAGTGGGAGTATTAGTGACTAAGCGATAGTCAGCATGCTCTGTGAACTTGTGTTGTACTAAGTATTGAGAGGCTAAGCGATAGCCAGGCTAAGGGATAGCCAGAATATTACTGACTAAGCGATAGTCAGAGAAACGAGTACCGCCCTACGGGAAGCGTTGTCCATTGCCAGTTACCTGGGTGGGCCCCGACGGCAGAGAAAACGTGTGTGCCACTGCAGGAGACAGTGAGGACAGCCAGGCTAAGCGATAGCCCGAGACAATAGTACCACCCTAAGGGGAACGCTGTCCATTTCCAGTTATCTGGGTGGGCCCCGACGGCAGGGAAAACACGTGTGCCACTGTAGGAGACAGTGAGGAAAAGTTGCTGTAAGAGCAAGGGGCCTGCAGCGTAAAAAGCACAAGGAGTGCATTGTAAATACATAATCATTTGTCTTGTTTGTCATTGTCTGTTTGAAGCATGAAAGAGTTAATTACTAAGGGGGAGTAAGGGGCGAATAATAATAATAATAACGATAATAATAATAATAACGATAATAATAATAATATTAATAAAGCTTAAAAGGTATAATAATAAATTAACAGAATTAATTATAAAATATAGTTAAAAAAGTAAAAGAAAAATTAACAGAATTAGCAACTGTAAAATACATAGTTAAAAGAATAAAATAAAATCACAAGGTCCTAATATAAAATTACAAAATAGGTTATAAGTGTTATATGAATATAAATAATATTATACATAAAGTAAATTATAGAGTAACAATACAAAATACTTAGTAAAAAGGACAAAATAATATGATAAATTTGTTCTATTAGAGATCCTAACTCAAATTGTAGAAATTTAAAAATTAAGAAAAAGAAAAAAAATAAAATAAAAGAAATCTGTATTGGAGAGAGCAGGACAAGTTAAATTAGATCATTAAGGGACTGTAGAAATTGGTGGGTAAGCACAGACCCCGAGGATTGAGTGACTGCTGGTTGCCATGGGAACCAATGTGAGCAAACAGACTGAGGGGCTGACGCCTGCCAAACTGGTAATAATGACACACCCATCTAATAAGCGCAAAATTAAAAAATGCATGACAGAGTGGCATTAGATAACATCTGGGAAAAATCGCTGGCCTAAAGAGGGCAGCTTTGACTCTTCATGCTGTGATGAAGTGGAGGAAAAATTAAGGGATAAAGATAAAAAACGAGACCGAGTGCATTTGCATAAAAAACAGAAACATGCTGAACAGAGANTCCTTAGCCGCTCTGTCTCTCACGCAGACTCCGGTGAAACCAGAACCCAGGCCCGAACCAGTCATCAGTACATTCTGTGTGTTGTGCATAATAAACGTGTTAAACTTTCATCCTTGTGTCCGTCTAGTGGTGTTCTGCATAATTGGGTCTCCTTTTGAGAACCCATCATGACACTTGCCTCTCTTTGTTGTTTTATTCTCTATGTAATCTGGATGATATGACCCCTCATAACAGCTTTGGCACCATCCCACAGAGTGGATGGAGTAACTTCCCCATTATCATTTATACTGATATATTCTTTTAATCTGTCACGTAATTCCTGTTGAATGAGGGGGTCATTCAATATTGAAACATTAAGTCTCCAGTATCTAAACTTTTTTTCTTCATCTAAGTTTATTATCATCTTGATGGGGCCATGATCTGACAAAGTTATGGGTTCTATCTCGCAGTCCATCATTCTATGTACATCAGTCTTTGAGACAAGAAACATATCTAATCTGGAATAGCTTCCAAGAACTTGCAACCTGTAGGTGTAATCTCTGTCTCTTGGATGATGATATCGCCATAGATCAATCAAACCCAAACCCTCCATCATTCCCAGAACAGTGGCTGACTTTTTAGATCAAGGTCCCTTCTCAGCTGGTAGTCTGTCCATAGTTGGATTTAGTACACAATTATAGTCCCCCACAACCAGAATGATTCCCTCCCCATTGTCTGCCAATACAGAGGCTATTTTCTTAAAAAAGTTTGGGCAATCTTCGTTAGGTGCATACAAATTCAAAAATGTTAATCTATTTTCCCCAATCGTACCTGTCACCATGATAGATCTGCCTTCTCTGTCTTTCATTACTTTCTCACTATTAAAAAAAACATTTCTTCCAGCTAAAATAGCAACCCCCCTTTTTCTCCCTCCTTCATGAGATGCACTGTATACTTGCTCCACCCAGTCTCTCCTTAATTTCAAGTGCTCTGCTTCAGGCAATTGTGTCTCTTGTAA